ATGGGGTAATGTTCACAAAATAACAATTTTTGTAATAGCACAACCTCATCTTATCTCATTTATCTATCCATTTTCTTGAGGTTTTATCTGATTCAGCGTTGCAGGCTGGCTGGAGCCTATCCCAGCTGCCACAGGGCAAAAAACGTGGTTTGTTCCCATCTCCTGGAAAAATAAAGTTAGCTGTGCATGATCTTCAAGCATGAAGAAATTAGAATACATACATGAATTCTCTGTTTTCTTGATCCACCATGAAAAGCTTTAACAATAACATTTTCTGAATGTATCTGATGTATCTGTACAGTCTTGCTCTTTCTTTTCTAGTAAGCCAAGCAGTTTTGTCTGAGACATAAATCAGTCAAACCCCAAATCTGTGCCATAAAACGTTTGTCTCACAGAGGGATAAACTTGTTGATGGACCCTGACAGGGGTATGCAGCATAAAAGAGAAGCAACACGCGATAGTCTGGAAGTCATTATGCAAAGGAGTTTAACTCTCCCTCTTTCAGTCTTCCTAAAGCCACCGAAGTCCCTGAAGCCCCCAGAAGGCTATAAACAGGTTCTAAGAGCATTCTTCAGGGATGTCTGTTCAGCTCCCCCCTCATCTAAACAATTCACACATCCCGCAAACATGTGCGGAAGCTTTAAACATACACTTTTACCTGCATAGTGAATGAAACGTTTGCTATGGTACCTTGTAAATATATTGGAAGAGCTCCCTTTCCATTCTACAGCCTGGTTCAGCACAGGTAATGGATTAAGTGCAAAGAGATGAATGCAGATAAAGAAGCTTTTAGGACATAAACTGAAACAAAAGCAAGACTGGTTAATTTCCTGAGAGTTTGTGGGTATATGGCTTTAGATGTCTGTGCACTGTTTGGTCATCTCTTTCATGTTTCTTTCTCACTACCACTATTTGGCATTCCTGCAAAGAGTTAGGCTAAAGTAGTCAAAAAAAAGGGAAGAACACATATAGTAGGAAGGCTAGGAGGTACATTGTTTATGCAGTCACATTTATATCAACAATTTAGTTTCCAGGGTTTTAATCATAGACCACACAGATCCTTTCTTTTTGTTTTAGCGTGTTTTTGCCTGGATGTTTTTGGGAAGCCAGGCGGCTCATCTAAACAAGAACTCACTCAGTGTACCACTATGGTCTGCTTGTTAGTAGGTCTTGTTATTGTGTGTTTGTGTGTAGTGTGTGGGTGATGAAGGTGGGTTTTAAAAAGCAGCTGCTGACCAGTAGCTGTAATTCATCCCACAGACAAGCATTCCTCATAAACTACAGCACTGACTGGGCTGTTCCCCTCACTTACATGTTGAATGTATACATTTGTTAAAATATGAGTCATTAGGTGGTCTTTTAGGGCATGCTCAGTTTCCACAACATGACCAGAAAAGGTTTAGCTAGAGTTCAGTCACAAAAGTTCAAAAAAGGAACACTTTTATTCTGCACAACAAATTAAATACATTATATCATGCATGTTTTATTCAAATATACTGTATATGTATGGCCAGTTGTTTAAATCAAAACAGATTTTTTCTCTCTTTTTTTGCCTTTGTAACAATTTAATTTTTACTCATTACACACTTTCTCTAGATTGTTAAGAGTCTGTGGAGGATTCTGTTTGAACTTACACTACTGTGCAAAAGCATTGAGCCACTCTCTCTTCTTTATATTTTTCTAGGAAACTGGGAAATAGGTACAAACACAAACTAACAGTAAATAAGGCAAAAACAGAGCTTAAAAAAATAATATTTTGCATGGCCAACTTTATACTTCAACACAGTCTGAACTCTCCTAAACAAACCGTAATTTCTTTGAATAGTCTTTGGGAATACTTCTCCGGTCTCCTTGAAGGAGTTTCAAATCTCTTCTTTTGATATTGCCAACCTTTTGTTCTGCTTTCTGTCAAGATCATCCCACACTGCTTCATTAATGTTGAGTTGGGAGACCAGTCCATGACTGATGGTGTTCCTATGTGTGTTTTTCTTTCCAGGTATGCTTTGACTGTACTGGCATGTGTTTGGAATCACTTTCATTGCTAATCAGATGCTTTCAAGAAGAAAAATCTAACTGTACTTTTCTGCATTTACAGTTCTATCTACTCTGACAACAGGTGATAAGATGTTTGGCTGAAAGCAAACTCAAACCATGGCCGAGCCTCCATAGTGTTTTGCTTAATCTTGACCCTCTCTCCTGACGTCCTCTGTATATACTGACGATCATTTCAGCCAAAATCATCACCCCATAAGACCCGTTGCTACTGAATTCTAGTCCTATTTCTGTGTATTTGGCAGACCTCAATGTTTTTTCCACGTTTCCCTTTACAGCCTCTTGACAGCT